ACGATTTTAATGAAGGCAGAGGCCACAGCCAGACTGAACCAAACTATTAAAGCAGAGCTCCATTTTGAGTGAACCAAAGTTCTTGACACAGGGATTTTACAAACTTCTTCAAAGTTGGAGAATTGTACTGGAAATGCACCATCCAAGACCTTGCCCCTGTTCTCCAAGTATTCTCAGACAAGGAATCTTAAAGGTCCAAGTGGAAGTACACTGGAAGCGGTTCTGTCAGGACCCACAGCCAAACAACAGAGCACACACTTCCAAGAAAGGTTTTACTTTATTGTTAGTACTATGGTTGTAGTAACATAGTCACTGTTAGGAATGACGAATATAGGACAAGCATATAGTGATATAGAGGATTCAACAGCCCCCCCCACCTGTGAGCCAATTGGCCCATTTCCTGCGGGTGGGAAAGAAAGAATAACCGATGGTCGAGGCTGAGAAATGAAACTAGTCCATACAGACAAGAGTACAAGGTCAGCGATAACGGCGAGAGACGCAGGAGAGGGAAGGGATGTGGCACCAGCTTGTGCAGGAGAGGAGGTCAGGCAGGCGAGCACCAGGCCTGCAAACCACATGGCCGCCTCGCTGACAGGTCCTTGTTCAGACAGCCACAGGTGCCACAGGTAAAAATTTCACGACTAAAAAAACCCCATCCAGTGCTCACATTAGTGTAATAGATTTTATTGTGCAAATAAACAATCAAAAATATACAGATTCCTTCGTGAGTTTAAATACGACCACTAAAAAGACCCATCATTTTGTGGGGGGGGGGGGGGGGGGGGACCAAAACACCGGTGATCTTCAGAGGCTGGCCTGGCCAGAAACTTCCCCTTCTTTAAAAAGGTGATATGGAATCTTGAGTTTCTACACAATAGCATAAAGGCATTTATATATTATAGATTTATAGTGGATGAATATTAAAAATAGATGTGACAGCATTAGACATCTAAAGAGAGCACACATTTCAACAGAAAGTGATGCAAACATTTCTCTCATATTTTTTCCACGT